TCCCCCCAGAGACGGAAAAGTCCCCAGTTCAACCGCGCGCACCTTATCACCTGTCCTGGACGCCGAGCCGCCTAGACACTGACATTTTGAGCTCCATAACCCCTACCCCCACGCCTGAATAGAATTTATAGAAAGCAAACGTATGCTCGCCAATTTATCTTTTGAAGACAAGTGTGCCTAAATGACCCCATCTGTCTGTCGAATAGACTGATGACTGTTGCCTCCTTCGACCAGGGTCGTAAAACGAGACAGAGTGTTTGTGCTCAGCACCGCATTAATGTTGGGTTCTAGTTGTATAAGGTCAGGGCGTTTTTTACGTGGCCAGTTTGATGAGGATGAGAGGTTAGTTTTAAAGTGTGTGCGAACAGGAACATGGTCTATCTCGTGGGCGTCTGTGCGGCTGTTGAGCCAACGAAGATGTAGTCGATCTGACCATTCGTATCACCGCCATTTGAATACCATATCAAGAGATATTTTATGGCTACTACTAAAGCACGTATTTGAGATAAATAGGATGTTCTCATCATCAAAATTCAGCTTCCCCACTGTCGTTGCATCGAGAGCCAAGGGAAAGGTCGCCAGTATGATGACTACTTAAGGAGTCGCCACATCCAGTACCGCCATTCCAGTTCCCGACAACAATCAAAAGATTGCGGTGAGTGAGTTTTTGAACTGACTCTTGCAGCTGTGAATGGAAGGATTCATTATTGTGATACTAATATCTGATGTTGGTGCATACACAGAGACAACAGTAATGATCGTAAAATGCCCCCTCACTCCGTGCAGGTCATCCGCTCATCGGCTGGTTACTACGCAGGTAATGCGGGTTCGCTTTTTGTGAGAGGGCGGTCGCCTCATTGTCTACGACAAGAGTTGTGGTGCTGGGAACTGAGTCGCGGAACCTGTTTCTGATTTGGTGATTCGGACTTCAGACAAACAGCAGATATCAACGTTGTATTTGGGAGGAGCGCGTGCCGTTAACGTTCGCATACCAGTGTCCAGGAACGTTTGCACATGCGCAGTCTGTTCTTGACTGAGCAGTCCAACTGGCACCAGACTCACAGAGCCTGCCGGCTCCTACAGATACCATAACATGAATCGTTATTCTATTTCCCAATTGTGAAAACTTTGCGGTCTTTGTGTGAGTTGAACCCACACAGCAGGGAAGACTTTTGCGCAGCCAACGCTCTACCGCTGAGTCACGAGGCTCACCTTGCGCCGTGAATTTAATCAAGCTTGGATTTATTAAATTGTCCAGCTTTACTGCACGTATGGAATCCATCAATAAAAACGCACTAAGCTGAGTGCCCAGGCAGGATTTCCTAATTAGTCATGTAGGATCTGCCAGATGGACTACTAGGCTAACTTTGGATGTTAAGGGTTTGGCAGATTTCAATAATTCGATTTACCCAAGTGTGAACTCGTTACATTTTATCCGACCAGTTCTTTAGGTTTCTTGAGGGTTCGAGGTACAGGTTGGTCTCATCTGGCAGCACTGACAGGTCGTTTGAGGTGTGTCGTAGCTCTTGTTGGATCAAGAGTCCCCGCCGAAGTCCAAACTGGTTGTAGTTGAAAGACGGAGAAAAGCCGAGACCT